CAAAGTTGCTTTGCGATGTGTTGTTGTCAGATATCAACGAGTGTTCTGATCCTCAAACCTGTCACGTTGATGCTGAGTGCAACAATACTCATGGTTCCTATTTCTGCAAATGTAAAACAGGATTCAATGGCGATGGACAGAAGAATTGTTCAGGTAAAACTATAAGTAATCTGTCTTCTATCACTTTAACTCAAAATAGTGTATACTCAAAAGCTCAGTTCATCCTATAATATTTCTGGAACTTACTCTGCGAACAGAGGTTCTTTTCTCACCCGCCGARAAGCGAGAGAAAAATAACCTCTGCCKRCTTCCGATTATTACATCCAAACTTCTGGATGTAAACATTATGGGCTATTCGTTGAAAAAGCTGGTTTTCAACCGGTTTTCGCGTCTACGTCATTATCACCTTGCGAATTACCGCTAGTTTTTATTGTGGGCTCTCCGGCTAATTCAATACGGCGGGTAAAGGTCTCTCCACTCGAGAATTCCAAGATTTGGTTAGCATTTGCTTGAAGAAATTAGATGTAAACATACAAAACTATCAAAACATAACTTCGGCGCTCTTTTTTCCATATTATTCAAAATGGTACATTCGTAAACCTTCCAATCGGCCACGGGAAGTCTCCCGTACATCCCGGGGGGGGGGGGGGGGGGTACTCGACCCCATTTTGGATAGGTACGTGCCGCCAGCGGTCTAAATCCCTGACCCTGTTTAATTACCCTGTCTAAGACACACAAAAAAATATATCGGTCTTTTATCGAAATTATAGAGCCTGTTTAAGACAATTTCGGGTGAAATGTATACCCTGTTTAAGACAGCAAGGCCAAAAACCATACCCTGGCCAGCGGCACGTCCCCGTATAGTAAATATATGGGAGTGCCCCCCCCGGGCCGTACATCAACTTTCTGTTTTCGTTTGTCATTTAGCACCTTGACCTTTGACATACGTTATGCTACGTCACACTTGCGCATGCTCAACCAAATAATAATCGGAAGCCGGCAGAGGTTATTTTTCTCTCGCTTCTCGGCGGGTGAGAAAAGAACCTCTGTTCGCAGAGTATCTGGAACTATACACACGGCTAATATAAAAATTAGGTAACACCTAATAGCGGAGCTCCAATACCAATATAGAAGCTGAAAATGATTATCTAGTACTGCTATTTCAAAGGTAGATGCTCTGTTCTAAGGAATGTGAGCTACAACAGTTTTGTTGACATGCGAACAAATATTATAAAGAGTATGTTTATGAGAATTTAGTTCGTACTAATATTGACTTCGGTAGACTTTGTTCCGTTGGATGAAGTTTAAAATTATAATCTATAAAGGTCAATTGATTAAAAGTAAACTGAAAGCTTCTCGGCAAAAAGTAGTCTACATAAGCTTACAATAATCAACAATGTTTCAATAATCGATGTTTGAACCCGGACTACTCGAACTTCACATAATCACAGAAAACTGTATACAAAAATATATTTTTTACCTTCATTATCGAACTTCCGATAAATTATCGTTCAAAGGTCATCTTCAACAGAGCCATACTTGTTTCAAGCATAGGTTTCATCAATTTATTAAGTCATTCAAGACTGTAGATTCTTTGTTTTTAATCTCTCTCAATCTAACTGCTAGCATGGTCTTGGTTTCGAAATGTCCACACTTTTAGTCGACAAAAGAACTTCGCATAGATCCCTGCTTTTTCCCATATTGGTCCATATTATTGAAGTATTTCCAATAAAGTATCATCTCTTTTTGTTGTCGAAATATCAAAGTA